GGCTACCAGAAGAACAAACAAATCTGCCTTCAAAGAAGTATAGCCAGAATCCTTCTTTGAAGTAAGGATATGCAGACTTCATCTCTTGTACCTTTGACATTTTTTACTGACCCTCTACCAAGCATGATGTCCTTCTCCAGAGAATAGTCCCTGGAGAAGGACATCATGCTTGGTAAAGTAGAGGGTCATTGAAAAAGAAGAAGCCCCTAAATGAGGTAGATGGCTACAACAGTGGGCTGAAACATAGCAGTGATTGTGAGGATGGTGCAGGACTGGACATTGTTTTGTTCTGTTGTATGAAGAGTTGCTATGAGTCAGACCGGACTGGACAGTACCTAGCAGCAAAGGCCCTAGCTAATTCTTTTTCCATACCAGGTTCATCAGTATATTTACGTATCCCAACTCAAGAACAATACATTTTCAACTTTATACTGGTAGTCCTAGCTAGAGTAATAGAGCAAGAAAAGGTGATAACTGGCATTCAGATTGGTAAGGAGGAAATAAAACTATCCCTATTTGCAGATGATATGAGTCTCTACATAGAAAATACCAAATGTTCCATAAGAAAACTATTGCAACTAATAGATATCAGATCAGCATAGAAAAATCAGTTGGATACTTCTGCATCAACAGAGAACCTTGAATAGGATGTCAGGAAAGCAATACCAATTATAATTGCCCCAAATTGATAAAATAATAAGGAATAAGTCTTCTGACCAGGAATATAAAAAAACCTATACAAAGAAAACTACACAACACTACTGCAAGAAACTAAAAGAGACCTACTTAAAATGGAAAAAAAAATACTTTGCGCATGGATTGGAAGACGTAACATTTTGAAAATGTCAATACAACCCAAGAGATCTTTAGATATAATGCAATTCTGATCCAAATTATTAATTTAATGAGACAGAAAAACTAATCACCAACTTTATGTGGAAAAGAAAGAGACTCCGGGATAATAGCTAAAATATTATTAAAGAAGAACAGAGTAGGAGTTTTCATACTACAAGATCTCAGAACCTACTAGTCTAAACAGCCAAGTAAGGACTGGTACCATGACAGACACATAGACCAGTGGAACAGGATTGAGAACATAGACATAAATCTATGTACATATGGACAGCTGATCTTTGACAAAGAGCCAAAATACATTAAATGGGGAAGAGACAGCTTCTTTAATAAATAGTGTTGGCAAAACTATAAGTATAGCTGTAGAAAAATGAAACAGGATCCATACCTCACACCATACACAAAAACTAATGCAAAATGGATCAAAGACCTAAATATAAAACTGAAAATTATAAAGATCATGGAAGGAAAAATAAGAGACAATGCTAGGGGCCGTAATGTATGTCTTAAATAAAATTCCAAACATAACTAAAAATGCATAAACAGTAGAAAATGAACAAGATAAAATGGGACTTCCTAAAAATTAAAGTTATGCTCATCAAAAAACTTCTCCAAAAGAGTAAAAGATAATTTATAGACTGGGGAGGGGGGGGAAATTGGCAGCAATAAATATATCCAACAAGGGACAAATCTCTAAAATTTATGGAAAACTTCAGTACCTCAACAACAAGAAGACAAACAATCCAGTTAAAATATGGGCAAAGGACATGAACAGATACTTCACCAAAGGAGATATTCAAGTGACCAACAAATACATGAAGAAATTCTCATGATCATTAGCCATTAGAGAAATTCAAATCAAAACAAAAATGAGATATTGTCTCACCCCAATGATAACAGTGATTTAAAAAAAAAAAAATGCTGGCAAAGGTGTGGAAAGATTAGAACTCTCATACACTGTTGGTGGGATTGTAAAATGGTACAAACACTTTGGAAATGGTATGACACTGCCTTTAAAATTTAGAAATAGAGATACCATATGATCCAACAATCCCACTACTAGGTATATATCCTAAAGAAGTAGCTGTGACACAAATAGATATATGCACATCCATTATTTATTCACAAATAACAAAAACAACCTAAGTGTCCAACAATGGATGAATGAATAAGCAAATTATGGTACATATACTTAACAGAATTACAAAAAATGCTAAAGAATAACAATGAATCCACTAAACACCTCATAAACCTATAAGACATATGCTGAGTTTAATAAGCCAATCACAAAAGGACAAATACTGTATGAGGCCCCTACTATAAAAAGTCACAAAAATGTTTATATCCAGAAAAAAAAATCTTTGATGGTTACTAGGGATGGGAAGGGGATGGAGCAAAAAATCAATAACTAGAGAATACATAAGAATTATCCAGGTGAAGGGACAGGCAATATACAATAAGGAGGTCAGTACAAAATGATGGAGACAAAGGAAGATACTAAGAGGTACACAAAAGTAAAGGGCAATAATGGTTAATACTATTAGATACCCATTCACTGCAATTGAGCCAATTCTGACTTATTGTGACCCTATATAGGACAGAATACAACTGCATCTTAGGGTTTCCAAGACTATAAAGCTTTATAGAAGTAGACAGCCTCGTCTTTCCCCTGCAGAGCATCTGGTGGGTTTGAACTGTCAACCTTGCAGTTAGTAGACCAACACTTAGCACAGTGCCACCAGGGTTCATTATTACTCAGTCTTGTAATGATAATTTGCAAGTGGACACGTAGGTAGATATGAAAGACAAACAGGTATGGAATAGTGCAAGTGTATTTATAGGTTTGGCAGAAGGTATTTCTATGTACATATTCATACATGCTACAAATATATCCATATATAGTAGAATATACAAGGGACAAAGGTATGAAAACTTCTTTGTCATAACCAGATACCTTGAGGGACAGTCACTGGACTTTGGGCTTGGGACCATAGTTTTTGGGGTTGTAGGTCAGTTGGCATAACACAGTCCTTAGTTCTACATCCTGTTTTAATGAGTAGTAACTGGGGTCTTAAAAGCTTGCAAGTGGCTGGCTAAAGTACAGCTATTGGTCACTCACCATCCAGAGCAAAGAAGAGTCAAGAAAATCAAAGACTCAAGGAAACAATTAGTCCAATGAACTAATAGACCATATGAACTATAGCGGCTACGAGTTTCACACCAGAAGAACTAACTACCATTACCACTCCCCAACAGGAATCACAAAAGGTCCTGGACATAATAGGAGAAAAATGTACAGAACAAAATTCAAAATAATTGAAGTCCAGACATATAGGTCTAATAAATACTAGTGGAATCCTGGAAACTATGACCCTTCAACAAGCAAACATGAAACTGAAACCTCTAGCAACAACCTTGCAGCCAAACAATGTGATGGTGTTCGTGTGCCATGGAGTCAGTTCTGACTCACAGCGACCCAGTATAGGTTTCCAAGGCTGTCAGTATGAGAGCACAAAGCTTTGTCTTTTTCTTGTAGAGCAGCTGGTGGATTTAAACCACTGACTTTGTGGTTAGCAGCCCAACTTGTAACCCACTAGGCTACCAGTACTCCTTAGCCAAACACTGTTGTTAATTGCCATTGAGTTGGTTCTGACTCATAGCAACCCTGTGTAGGATTTTCAAGGAGCAGCTGGTGGGTTTTAACTACCAACCTTGTGGTTTGCAGTCCAGTGCTGATCTTGCAGTGCCACACCAGGAGTCCTAGCCAAACACTAGATAGGTCTACAAAGTGAACAATAACACTTATGAAGAGCGACTCAGAACAATCAATCATACAAGACCAAAAGGGCAGGAAAGACTGATGAATGGAAATGGGAATATAGGGAAGAGTGTTATTACAGTGAGGGAATTATAACTAATGCCACAAAACAAAATCATATAAATTGTTGAATGAGAAACCAATGTGCTCTGTAAACTTTCACCCAAACCACAATATAATGTTAAAAAAAAAAAAAAAAGACACAACAGCATGTTTGTCTGTGTAGTATGTCATTATATACTGTTATGGAAAACTGAATACAAATTACTAATCAGAAGTCAACAGTCCAAATTATATAGTCTACTGAATGACTCCACGGCACTTCACCACCACCACCACTGAATCGTTATAAATTGACAATAGGCTTAGTCATTCTTGATGATCAGATTTTGAATAAATGATCTTGAAGGTAAGATTGGGTCTCACTTCTAATCGTTACTCACCATCTATCCAGGTGAGATTATCACATCAAGCTAGATTTGAAAGATTGGAATTCTTTTAGTTTGAACTAGAAGTTTCCATTTTTGCCGTTTGTGAGTTCCTGAAGAAGATATATACATAAAATTTTTACGAGGCAAACTGTTTTACAGCTAGAGAAACCTACTTTGCCAACCAAAGAAAATTTGAACAACCAAGAATAATTTAGATAAATTGAACATAAAAAGTTAGTGAAAAGACAAGCCAGAGAAAGGAAGAAAAAATTATAAATCGTGTGTTTGATAATGATCTAATATCCAGGACATATAAATAACTCATAATTTAACAGCATAACTACTATCTTTGATATCCCGTGCGAGTAAAGTTTTACTAAAAGTCATACAGAAACGGCTACAAGCATACATTGACAAAGAACTTCAGAGGTTCAAGCTGGATTCAGAAGAGGCCGTGGAACGAGGGATATCATTGCTGATGTCTGATGGATCATGGCTGAAAGCAGAGAATATCAGAAAGGTGTTTTACCTGTGCTTTATTGACTATGCAAAGGCTTTTGATGTGTGGATAATGACAAGCTATGGACAACATTGGCAAGTATGTGGGGGAAATTGAAGCCTTTGTTCATTTCAGGTGGAGATTATAAAATAGTGCAGTTCTTTGTAAAATGATGTGTCATTTTGTGTAGTGGCTTGTTTCCTTTATTAATATGGCTTATTTTATTTGTTGATTTTCGTGTGTTGAACCACCTTGCCTTAGAATAAATCTGACCTGGGCAAGATATTTAAATTTTTTTAATGTGCTGCTTGATTCAGTTTGTTAATATTTTGTTGAAATTTTGCATCTGTATTTAGAAGAGATACTGGTCTGTGATTTTCTTTTCTTGTGATGTCTTTAGCTTTGGTTTAAAGGTAATACTGAGTCAAAGGATTCCTTCCCCTTCTATTTAAATGGTATTGTTTTAAGTTTACAAGCTTGTGGTAATTTGTTAGGCAGCAATAGAAAATTAACACCACCTCTAAAGAAGAGCCCCTGAAAGTATGCTCCACCTGATAGAGGTCTCTGTGAAGCAGACATGCAAAAAAAAGAAAAATGCTGAATCTGATCAAGCCTCTAATTTAGATGCGGTGCTGTGGATTAATGAGCCAGACTGCAAAGCCATTTGAACTGCAAGGTTGGTGGTTCAAGCTCACCAGCTGCTCCTCGGAAACCCTATACAGGTCACTATGGGTCGGAACCGACTCCACGGCACTTAACAACAACCAGTTTACAGTTAATAAGGAGCATAAAACTATGCCAAGGAGATACAATCAGCAAAATCCAGATGTTATCAGAATGATTTTAGACAGGAAAACATAAACACTCATAATTTAATTTTTAGCAATTTAATATAAGGAGTTCATTAAACAGGTGTTGAAGAGCTGAAAAAGCAGAAAGGGGATGATGAGGTAAAATGGAGCAGCAACTATGAAAGAAACTTGAAAGAGGAACTCTCTAGAGCTTTGACTCTGACTCTGAGATTGGGGCTCTGAATCTGCCCAGCTGGTAAAGATTTATAGCCTTGGAAACCCTATACAGGCTTGTTGTGAGTTGGAACTGACTCAGTAACACCCAACAACAACAATAATACTGTGCTATCATTTGTATACCATCCAGAAAGGGTATTTTACTTGAATATGTCTAGATTATCTTTGAAAAGATAAAAACTGTTGATTTAAATGACTGTGGGGCTCAGGACTGGGAAGAAGACTTTTTTTTTATCACTGAAAAAGTACAATAAAAGTACAATAAAAAATACTATGGGAGCAGAGATGAATGACTTATTTCTGGCTGAAAGTATGTATAAGACTTTATGAAGAAAAAAGAAAAGAAAACTTAGTATTGCTTTTATGTAACAAAAATAGCAAACATTATTGCTATGAGAGAGAGAAAATGATTGTACTATAGGTGAAAATGTTATCTGAATTTTGTTCATTCATATTTTTATCTGTTTTAGGTGGTGATAGTGGACTGGATGGGTTAGGAGGACCAGGTGTACAACTAGGAAGTCCAGATAAGAAAAAACGTAAGACAAATACACAGGTAAATTGCCATTTCCTAATTGACAATTTTTCTTCACTGGCATGATCTGTTTGATTAGATAAATTTAAATTTGCTTGTAGGTTTTGTTTCCTATCCTCCCTTATTAGGCCCCTAATAGTGAATCTGCAGTCATTTTTTAAATTTTTTATGCTGTATTGTAGGCCAGAGTAGATATGGGCAGAAATATTATAATGCTTCTTATTAAATCTAATTTAAGGGCTAGACTTTTTAAAAGCAAAAATGTCTATAATTCTGTTAACGTTTAAAAAATATATGAAAACCAATTCAGCCTGAAATAATGTTAAACTATTATAATAATTCAGTATTATGTACAGATCATTAAGCAATCATGAAAGAGGCATATTTGTTTCACTTCTGGTTCTAATAGTTACAGATACAAGCTTTCACATTTTTATTCTATATAAATTTGAAGCATTCCTTTTATGATAAATGCTGTGATTCTGTATTTGTATACAGATTCCATTTTACCTCTTCTTATTTTGGGCACCACCTATTTTAGATACCCAGTGACGAAAACTGGCAGTTTATTTTTCTAGTCTGAGACTCATAGTTTAGTGCTTTGAGAATACTTTAATAACTTCACCCAGAAGTTAGAATTTAGATCCAGTTTATCATTTTTTAATTTTATGGCTATTTAAGGTCTAAAAGGTATTTTGGGTTATACTTTAGTATTTTAAGTGAAAGATTCTAGAGTTATAAACAAGTATATTAATTGAAAATTATGATAATAAAGACTGTTTTGAAAATTTAAATAATTTGAAAGTTCTAATAATTTGGGGGTTCTAAGTAAAGAGAGAATTAAGCTCCGAAAAGCATATCTTATGTCCTTTCCTAAAAGAAGCTTACATGTTTTTACCATAAAGTATAATTAAATATAAACTTGAAAAGTCAAGTGAATCAAGTTTTGTTACCATTACAAGAGAAAGTTGACTAAAATGAGGCTCATAGGTGTTAGGATAACAGGAAAAAATTTAATGCCTTCTCTGATCAAAAATAAATGTTTTACTTTGCATTCTCATTTCAGGGGTCTGCTTTTCCTCCATTATCTGAGTACGCTCCACCACCAAATCCAAACTCTGACCATTTAGTGGCTGCTAATCCGTTTGATGACAACTATAATACTATTTCCTATAAACCACTACCTTCATCAAATCCCTATCTTGGCCCTGGTTATCCAGCCTTTGGAGGCTATAGCACGTTCAGAATGCCACCTCACGTTCCCCCAAGAATGTCTTCCCCATACTGTAGTCCGTACTCACTCAGGAATCAGCCACACCCATTTCCTCAGAATCCTTTGGGCATGGGTTTTAATCGACCTCATGCTTTTAACTTTGGGCCACATGATAATTCAAGTTTTGGAAACCCATCTTATAATAATGCGCTAAGTCAGAATGTTAACATGCCTAATCAACATTTTAGACAAAATCCTGTTGAAAACTTCAGTCAGATTCCTCCACAGAATGCTAGCCAAGTATCTAACCCTGAGTTGGCATCTAATTTTGTCCCTGGAAATAATTCAAATTTTACTTCTACATTAGAATCTAATCATTCTTTTATTCCTCCCCCAAACACGTTTGGCCAAAAAGCACCACCCCCAAAACAAGATTTCAGTCAAGGAACAACCAAAAACACAAACCAAAATTCCTCTGCTCATCCACCTCACTTAAATATGGATGACACAGTGAATCAGAGTAATATTGAATTAAAAAATGCTAATCGCAACAATGCAGTAAATCAAGAGAACAGCCGTTCCAGTAGTACTGAAGCTACAAACAACAACCATGCAAATGGGACACAGAATAAGCCACGACAACCTAGAGGTGCAGCAGATGCATGTGCCACTGAAAAAAGCAATAAATCCTCTCTCCACCCAAGTCGTCATGGTCATTCATCTTCTGACCCAGTGTATCCTTGTGGAATTTGTACGAATGAAGTGAATGATGATCAGGATGCCATTTTATGTGAAGCTTCTTGTCAAAAATGGTTTCATCGAATCTGCACTGGAATGACTGAAACAGCGTATGGCCTTCTCACTGCAGAAGCATCAGCAGTATGGGGCTGTGATACATGTATGGCTGACAAAGATGTCCAGTTAATGCGCACTAGGGAAACTTTTGGTCCACCTACTGTGGGCAGTGATGCTTAACCACAGGCAGTGACTAACATGTTTCCCCCTGTGTATTACATTATTTTTTAAAAATGCATACACAGAAAGATTATTTGCCTTTTCATTTTTATTAGTATTACACTTTAGTGTTAGTACATGCTTTAAATTATCTTTGTTTTCTATCTGAAATGAGAATAATGTATGTGCAGATGTTTTAGAGAGTGCCGTACAATTAAATGTTAGTTGTTGTTGATTATAAACATAAAAGCCTCTTGAAGCTTCAAAATACTATATAGAAAAGGTAGGCAAGTTGTAACTTTCAAAAGTTAGACTCATTGAAAGATGTATATATTTCAGTGTTGAATTCTGAAGGTGCCGCATTCAGCATTTAGTTCAAAAAGTTTTTCAAGAATATGACATATTTTCTGAACAAAATGTGCATAGGTATAATAGAAGGGGAATCGTGGATGTTTTTCATGAATGTTTTAAAAACTATTAGAGTAGGACACCAGAGTCTTCATCCACTAGGGTCTTTGAAATTAGTGATGTTCATGTTTCCAAGTCAATTTCTCCAGGATATCTGTTTGTACAGGTATGAGACAGCTCTTAGCATGTAGTGGGAGCTCAGTATTTGTTGGTTACCTTGTGGAGTGTACCACATGAAATTGCTAGTATTCAATCAGTTGAAAATTGGCCACAATTAGTAGAATTAGTATAAAATATGTTTCTAGTTTTGCTGTTTAGAATTATAACAGGATTATGCTCTTCCATTTTCTTTGATTATTGAGTTTTTATGATTTCGGTCTTAGAGGGTTCTATTAGCAGAACTACTCAGTAATGGTTTGAAAAATTTTGTTTGGAGCTTAATTTTAAAAAATGAGACTCAGGAAATCAAATTTCATTTTTTAAAAAGGTCAATTAAGAGCCAAGGTGAACACTAACTCACAAATGACAAAGCCTTGAAGCTGACCTAGTGGTAGTGATGTGCCATAGAGTCGGTTCCGACTCATAGCGACCCTATATAGGGTTTCCAAGGCTGTAGACGTGGAAAAAGTGTGAAAAATGGACAAGTGAGTACCCTCTTGAGAAGTGATTTAAAAAAAACAATTTGAGATGTGCTCCCAAAATTCAAAACAAAATTTTTTTTTTTTAAGATTCAAAGCATCAGAAACCAATTTTTGGCCTGGATCATAACCTATGAACAACAACAATAAAAATTGGATATCAGATCATAGTTAATCTCTATTCATACAATGTGTGGATGTTGATGAAGCTCCCAATCATGCACCAACCTAATTGCAACCAAAAATGTTCTGAACACTGGACTGTATAGTGGTCTGCGAAAAGGCTAGTTCATTTTAAATCTGAGTGTAACAATGACAGCAAAACCATTTTGTCAAGAAATTAAAATTAATGTATGAAAAAATCATATATAAATATCTGTTGATTAACAAACATGAATTCACACTCATGTTATAAGACTTGACCTCATTTATCGCAAACTTAACTGAATTGGGCTGTGAAATTTTGTCATAGTCATTGTAGTTAGTGGACTGAATACCATGTTTTTCATGATTTCTAACTTTTTCTAGTAACACATTCCCCAACTGAGAAGCAGTAACTGGAGAATTTGAACAATTTTTGCAGTATACGAGATGATGAATTTTATAAAATGAAATAAACTAATATCTTACTAGGGAAACAAAACAATGATCATGATACATATTTTGAATAAATAAAACTTATTTTTTTATATACAGGGTTTTAAGTTTGAGCTATAATAACAGCAATTTCACATGGTACAAAGTGATATAAGGTTATCACCATTTACCCTTAACTAGTCAGAGGTGAGTACAAAATATTTTCAAAAGTTATGTAATAATATAGCTCTACCATTTTAGGAAATGAAATTATATGGACTCTAATACTAGGTTCTTTTTTGTGTGTGAACATTACCAGTTGGAATATATTAAAATGTAATATATTTGACAGACTCTGACATTTGATGGTGTTCAGTAATATACTTGAAGATCTCATTTTTTTTATGTTGTGTTTTTTTTTTGTTAGATACATACTTTTGTGTGTGTGTTAAAGGGCCTAATTGTGTTTTCTCTTGAAATTCTAGTGAGTGCTGATTTTTAAGAAATGATGCAGCTGCATGCTATGTGCCCAGTCCTAGCATCAGATCATGATTTCTTATGACTAAATAAGAATATTATGAATGGAACCTTTTAGCGTTTTCGTAAGTTATTATTTCACATGATAATACTTGAGTTGTGCTCATCGATTATTCCTTTTCTTGAGTTCTTTATTTCTTAACTTTCCACAGTTTGCTGTTTTGGTGTAAATGAAATAACTACTCCCAAACTAATCTCAAGATAACTTGATCTGTAATGTGACTCTTTGATTTTTCCATTTCAAAATAGTAGTTTTTAAACACTTAAAAACAAGTGAATTTTTACTCATTTAGAACATCAGAGCACCTTACCTAAGTAGGAGTTTGTAAATATTCAAAAGAAAAAAAAAAATGTGGTTGATTCTGACAAAGAATCCTAGCCAAAATAAAATCATAGTTGAAGAATGTTTAATTTTCTTACTAGTTCCATGTCTGCATCATACTAAGTCAAAGTTCTCTAGAAACATTTTGGTAGGAAAAGTGATGTGTTACAATGGTGACCTGGTGCTAATTTACCCACACAAATATACATGAACTGCCTTAAACTAAAAAATATACACTGATGGACAGAAACACATGTAAGTGGAATAATCTTCTAGTTAACATTGCACTTGCTTTGATGTACATATACAAAAAAAAAAAAAAATCACACACACATAAACAAAAAAATTGAGCAGGAAATCTTAGGAGTTTCTTTAGAATGTCAAATGTTGCCAAAGTTCAGCCTGGCTGTCAGCAGCTATGTTCTCTCACCAAGGCCAGGTTACGATGCAAAGTTTTAATGCATCATTTACTTTCTCAGAACTGCTTCATTCATTTGCAGGAGAATGCTGAGTCCACCTGCATTCATTAAGATTGAAATCATTTAGCTTGTAAAAGAAAAGGAAATGTTCTTCAGATAGAGAATTAGATCTGTGGTCAGTGTTTTTCTTTTGTATGGAATACTTTATAAACTACTGCTACTTCGATTCCTACTCAAATTAGAAAGATCTGTAAATAAAGCTGAAGACTTAATTCTTCAGAGATAAGCACTATATAAAGAGATTCAGTGTTTATTTTCTTTTATTAGACTCCCAACTCTGTTTTAGTGGTAGGAGGCTGAGGGAGAACACCCTTTTAATAGTATAGGTCACCATGAAATCTGCCAATTTTAATCATCCTAAGTAAAATAAGTATCAGTTTTTTATCTAATTTTTTCCCCAAACATGTTTGCCTTGAACACATTGAGTGCTAATACTTTTTGTCCAAACTATAATAACTGTTGAATAATCAATGATTTTTGTTTAAGGGGGCGCCAAAGAGTTTGGGGGTTTCTTTTATGCTGGTAAAGGTTCCATATGCATGAGCATTTGTACTATTTTGGAAATTTTTTTTTATTAAAAATATTAAAATCATCCAAGCTTCCAAAGTTCACTTGTAAATAGTGGCCTGGGACTCTATATAAAATTATCAGATTCCTAGGGAATATAATTAAACAATAGTATCATTCTGAAATCTCAGTTTTTTTTAGGGAACCAACATTGTTGGAAGGAGAAAGAAGCAGAAGTCTCCTGATGTGATTTATTTAGTAAGGTTAACCTCCTTTGGTCTTAGTATTTGCTAGTTGCCCTGAACCCTCCAGTGGAATGCCATAAAAACAGGCTTGCTTTCCCCATGCTCAATTCTCTATATTGCTGTTGAGTGCTATTGAGTTGATTCCAACTTGTAGCGACCCTGTATAGGGTTTCCCAAGAGTGGCTGATGGGTTTGAACTGCTGACCTTACAATTAGGAGTGGCTGGTGGGTTTGAACTGCCAAACTTACAGTTAGAAATGAAGTGTTTATCCTATAGTGCCTCACCAGAACTTCTAGATTCTCCATATGGCACTTCAGAACTTCCTGTTTGACTGGTTGGCCAGATTGTAAGGTTTCTTTCACTACGATGTGAATAAAATTTTATGAAGAAAGTGAGACTAAATCTCTATTTTAAGGCTATTCAGAATGAACTTTCAGGTAATATTGCATATTTCAGATAACATGTCTGTTTCAGGCCTATGGGAAGCATTTTTAGTGAGTTGTTTCATGAGTACTTCCACATTTTCTTCAGATTGTGACTTCACAGCTTCCTTTTCTCTACTTCTGAACCCAGAGATTTTCTTCTATATTGTAGTCATTTCCCTGTTCTCTCCATCTATCCAATAGAGCAGTATAAAAGTAACATCTGCGTTTTCCAAGTCTTGGTGGTACCATGATGGGAGTTTGCAGACACTCCTGGAACAAGGAGGCTAGGGATGGCATTGCCATCTCCCAAGATAAGTGGTCTAGGGGAGATGAAGGGAAGATGGTGGCTGTGCATAAGCCTGTCATGAATGTGTCAGAGGTTGCCTGGATTAATTTAAGCTTCATCTTTCTTGTATTTTATCAATAATGCATTACTTGGTATTATAATAGAACTTGTTCTAAATATGTGTACCTTTCTTGTTCTGTAGATGATGTTGCTTGTTAGTCAAATATTACCTTTTATAAAAGAAAGTCCTGCTTCTTACCATGATGTATGTGACTTAAATGACTGTTTCATATTAAAACTATTTCTTCCTTATGTACTGTTTACATATACCTCTTTTTGGGATATTAGTTCAGTACTTTTATATAAATCTGAATGTGTTCCACATTGGTGACATGTATTTTTGCAGTAATTTTTTTGTTTTGTTTTTAGAGCATGTCTGAGGTAACACATGCACTAGTGCTGTGGTCTGTGGCAAAATTACTGTAATTCAAATTGGAACAAAATGTTTCCAGACTTTGTCCAACATTTATTCCTAAGACAAAGGAAATTACTATGTAATACTAATTATTTCTTATGCTGGTATGTTTTAAGCTACTC